TTAAGTATTCGAGTAACCCTAGGATAGTATCTTGAGTGAAAAATGGAAGGGCAAATTTTGGGGTACAACAGTCCCATTCTTCCTTGAGTTGGATCCAAGACCTTTGCAATTCTTCAAAGTTTATTGGCATATCAGAATGAAGAATGATGCGAGACTCGTCCCCTTGAACAATAGGCTCTAAGATCACTAGTAAGATGGTAGTATATGGCATCATAAGACTTTGAGCACGAGCTCTCACCCATTTGAGGTAAGGTTCCAAAGGGATGGAGTTCAAGTTCCCTAAAGTCTTACTATCAGTCTTCATAACCACGCCTCAAGCGCAGATGAACCTCTAACGATAACCTTACAGATCATTTAAATAGTCGAACACAATACCCTGGATGAGCATATCAGGAGGACCATCTCTCCATGTGTAACCAAACTGACGTAGATCTAAAGAAGGGTTATAGGTGATGCCTTATTTGATGCCAAAGAGTGGCAGATTAGGAAATTATCCACAGTGATCAATAAAATAGATGTCTTCTTGAGAGCGAGGACACTAATAGATATCAGACTGAGAAAGAGACATTAACCTTTGATTCTATATTAAGCCTAACTCATTCTTCATTATTGATCGAGGAAGGTGCGAAATACACCATTTATAGAGCAATGGCATACAACACATAAGAGTGCCTCATTTCTTCATAGTACAGGTGTGGAGTGAGTGCATAATATCCCCGAGCAATGTAGGTACTGGATTGTGAGTAAGGAAAATGTTGATGGCATTTACGTCTATAAGTTGGTCTGAATTAGGGAACAAAACCAACCCATAGATCAAAAGAGCCAATATATCTTCAAAAGCATGGTAACTCATGGCGTCTAGGAATATCTGAGCTTTCTCCATCAGAAACTTTACAAGAAGACCTTTAACTCCACTTCTTCTTTCCCAACTGGATTCAATGTCAGATGGCTTCAAATGCAAGGCTATGGCAACATTTTCAGAAGTTGGATCTTGTTCTAAACTGGTGAAAGGTATCTGTTCCAATATAGGCAAACCAAGTAGCTTAGAGAATTCTTCCAATGTGGGCACTAACTGATAGTATGGAAATGTGAAGCAATGGTGCTTAGGATCAAAGAACTGGAATAGGATGCTCATTAAACCTTCGTCAAAATCAGTAGTAACGAAACTGAGCAAGTTACCATATCTTTTGTTGAATGGTGAGCTTTTGGGAACTCTTAAGACCAAATCCCTAAGCTTTGAAGGAATTTCTACGAAGTTGATCCGGATGGTTTTTCTGCGAGCGGAACCCATAACCTACAAAACAGAGAAGAGATAAATCCCCAAGTCCTTGAAATGGTTAGTGTGAATGATATGTTATGATGTTCATGATATTATGATTATGCTTAAAAACAAAGACAGCAGACGCAAATAAGTCACACAAAGACCTTAGGTTTAAAGGATTGCACGAGGTTTTAAAGGTAAGTACCCTCTTTAAGTTTCAGTTGGCTCAACCAGTCCTAGTAATAGTAACCAAGTTCTAAGGGATATCTAATCATAGACCTTTCTCTCAGGCATTGTTTTAGCACAAGCATCGAAATATTGCAGCCGAAATATCCCGAAAGTACAATCTCAATGAGTGTAGCATCGAGTATCAACCAATCTTTGGTCGTAACCAAAGTCGGCTATCTCACTACTTTATAATGGCTAGGATGAGTCAATTAAAGGTTCTAAATGTCAGTTAGCACTTAATGACAATATGAGGAAGCCTAATGTTATCCTTGAATGACTCAAGGAACATTAGTACAAGCCAGAGTATCACGCTAAAGTAGCCATCACTTTGTCTGTATCGGTCTATGCCGTACAGCCTCCATGGTTTATTGCTACTTACCTAACAAGGTGCCCCAGATATGGGTATAGGATCTTTAATAATAACCGTAGCAAACCCTTTAAAAATAAAGCAGACAAAGCAAACAAGGAAAGTAATTTAAAATGATCTAACTCTAAGGTAACCCCACTATTTATAATTCTCCAGCAGAGTCACCAATCCTGTAATACGGTGGCAGAACCGAGTGTTATACTGGTTTTGCATTTTTTATTCACAAATGTTGTGGTAAGAAAGAGTCGCCACCGACTTTTCTTTTATCCAACAAAGGAAATGGTGAAAAGAACAGAAAAAGACCTTTTGAGATTATTTTTGAGTAAGGGGGGTAGATTATGGAAAGGGGAGGTGTTAGCACCCTTTCTATCTATAGTTATCTATAAGCTCTTAGTTGCTAGCTCATTTGGAAATGCCTTGTGTTTGTGTGTTTGAAAAAGTATTTTGAAAAGACGCCTTAGTCTGGCGAACTTTGTAATGTTTCTCGTGTTGTGGAGAACGTATACAAAGTGTCTTTGAAAATATTTTTTAGAAAAGAGTGTATGTGTGGAAAATTGTTTTATTTGAGCAAGCATCTAAGAACTATCTACCTACTCGAAAAGGTTTGTTCTTTTCCTCTTTTTCTTTAGACAGTGCTATCCTACTATTAGTGAGTAGGTAGCCCTGTCATTGGATGTTTGAGGGACAATCGAGGGTCATCGTAGAGTCACAAAGACAACTTAGAAAGATACTTTATTAACACCCCTAAGGTTTTAAGATCATGTACCAAGACAACATCAAAAGGGTCATTTTATGATCTTTGAACCAGAGGGTTTCCACTAAAATCTCTCACGTTCAAGAGTTATGACTGTTTTATTCCAAAGGTAACTAAAGTGGGAGTACCCTAGAGGTGCGCATGTGCGAGTGCGTTATGTTTCAGTTATTTATCTTTGGTGTTAGGTTTGCTAACGTTTTGTTTTTAATTCTTGTCATGCAATCTGTTGTACCCCAATTTTTGACCTAAGATCCCATTTTTATTTTTGCATTTTTAAAGATAAGTCAAGGTCACGAAATACAGTCGGTTTTAACCTCTCACCTTCAAGCATTGACTATGCGAAGATTGTCAAGTGTTTTGAACATTTTTAGCCGATGTATCACTAATTTCAAATTGCATACAAAGGTGTATGTTCATGTTTTCTTTTGTTTCATGTGCAGAGATAGGTCTGAATCAAGAGCATCAGGTGTCACGCCTCAATTAAAGTTTTAAGTCTCCCAAGCCCGAAGTACGGTTGATTGTGGATTCTCGAAGACTGATTCATCAAGGCACAACTGTTGCACCCTAATTTCGCCCCTAATATGTTTTAGTCGCACTTTCATATCATATTTTGTTATTTAGTCACAATCATTAGTAAATATCTTCATTCATCACATTTTGCATCATTAGTCGTATTTAAGTTGACCAGAAAAAGTCAGTTTAAATCAAAGTTTGCATCGTCTTTCAGTTGTAAAATACCCGACATTTCATTTCATTCATTTTTATCTGTTTACTATTTTCTTGCAATGCTCCAAATTGTTTACATGTCGATAATAAAATATTTCGGTTTTATAGACAGACTGTTAAAAGCGATTCGACACTATGCGGGAAAGTAGCGAGAAAATATTTCAAGTTTTCACCTTTTACCGATCATTTTATGAATCTGCGCTTCGCGTAGATTATGACGGTATGCTCGCTTTATTTTTTCGGTACAGTTCGAAGTCTCGTTTTTAACCTTAAACGTCTGTTTAGTCTGATATTTTTATTTTTATTTTATTTTTGATTTTTGACTTCTTGAATATTTTTCTTTAATCTTTGTGACATGTAGATTATTTTAATGTGTTCATTTTATTTTTTCGGATAAATTTTCGTCCGTTTTTTATCATTTTCGGTCATTTTCGGTCTTTATTTTTTATTCATAAAATATTCAAAAAAAATCATTTTAAATTGATTTAATTTTAATACATTTAGTTTTTTGGTTATTTTTATCATTTAAGGACTATTTGATCACAAAATATATTATTTACACTATACTCTATTCCTATTGGTTGTTGGATGAAATTGAGGATCGATACAAAATCACCAAAACACAACTCACTTTCAATACACAGTAACCTCTCATCTCTTCTTCTATACACAACAAAAAAAACAAACAAAAACAAAGCATTAGCAGAAAATCACGCATATACTCCCACTGCTATTCCATTATCACCTTCTTCATCACCACACCATCCACATGCAAACCCACTTCGCCCACCTTCCATCATCATCACCTTCACCCTCTGTCAAACAAAAAAAAACACACATAAAACCCACCATTCTAATTTCCATTTTGTTAGTTCCGTTTAGGTGGAGACAGAGAGAGAGAGAATAGAGAGAAAGAGAGAGTGTTAAGAATTTTTTTCCCTTCCTTTTCTTGTTAATTTCTGTTTATTTGTTAGGTGTTTTCTCTCTCATTTTTGTAGGTGTATTGTGGAAGAAGACTTTGAAGCTTGACTTTGTTCAAAAGCATACGATTCAGGGAAGGCCGAAAAGTTGGAGTGAATTTAGATTGAAATCTTAGAAGTTTCTAATCGGATTGAAGAAATGGAGGTATATGGAAATTCTATGGTTGCAGCTCCTTCAAATGTTATTTATCTGTCAAGTATTTTGGGCCATGATGGTCCGAGTTATGTTCACAAATGCGACTGGAAATGCCAGAACGAACGCGTTTGTGGAAACATGTTTCGCTGCAGGCTCACAGGGCTGACACACATCTGTGATAAAAACTGTAACCAGAGAATTCTGTATGATAACCATAGCTCCTTTTGCCTAGCAAGTCGTCAGATTTTTCCCCTGACTCCAACCGAAGAACAAGCTGTGAGAGGCGTACGAAGGAAGCTTGACGCGGAAGAGAGTTCGCCTGTTGATAATAACATTGGCTGTAAGCGTAGGCGGGATGCACAATTCCATCCTTCTCCTTTTGAGAGATCTTTCTCTGCTGTCAGTCCTATCTGCAGCCAAGTTGGAGACGGCATGGATACAAACTAGATATTAAGATTCGTATAACTGAAGGAGATGCTGTAATTGAAAGGCTTGGAGTTGCTTTGGAAGACAACAAGGAAAAGGAAGCCAGGGATGTGAAGTTGATAATGGCTCAGATTCTGTTTCTGCAAAAGAATGTTGATGAAGCTTTGGGTACGTATGAGGTATTAATCAAAGAAGATGCTAATGATTTTAGACCTTATTTTTGCAGGCGGAGTTTATGGAGAGTGCTATGGCTGGATCCACCTCGCTTTCCACTCCGAAGGTGTGGTTAACAGTTTGATGCAACAGGTTGCTGATGATTATGGACTTGAGGTGTCGGTTGGGCTTCCTCAGCCTGCTGCTCATGCTGTTCCGCTTAAGGATAAGGATGTTGAGAAGGTTGATGAGGATGATTTGTCGAGGCGGCTTGCGGAGCTTAAAGCTAGAGGTTAATGTTCCTCTTGTTTTCTCGTTGAAGAATGATGATACACTCTGGTTATATAGTATTGTTATTATGTTGCTATTTTATGCTTTATGGAGTGGTTTTGTGTATATTTAACTGAATTTGGATGTTTAGCTTTAACATTAAGCGAGATTGTTATGATTATGTGTTGACATTGATAATATGTTTATATTTGATTGTCTTCATTCTTATGCTTAAAAATATAAAAAATATTAGTAAATCTTATATTTAGATTTAGTTTAGTATTAATTTAGAATATTTTTAATTAGTTTAGATTTATTTTATAACTTTAAAATATTTAGAATCATAATTACTAACTTTAGAATTTTGTTTTTGTTTTAGTTTTATTTTATAACTTTAGAATTTATTTCATTTAGTAAATTTTAGAATTTTATTTGTTTTAGTTTAGTTTAATAACTATAGAATTTTATTTGATTTTATTTAACTTTAGAATTTTATTTGTTTAGTTTTAGTTTAGTGATTTTAGAATTTTATTTGATTTTATTTAGTTAACTTTAGAATTTTATTTGTTTAGTTTTAGTTTAGTGACTTTATAATTTTTATTCGATTTAGAATTAGTTTAATAAGTTTATAATTTTTATTTAGTTTAATAACTTTAGAGTTTTTATTTGATTTAAATTTAGTTTAGTAGTTTTAGAATTTTATTTGATTTAGATTTAGTTTAGTAACTTTGAAATTTTCATTTGTTTTAGATTTAATTTAGTAACCTTAGGATTTTAATTTAATCTAGATTTAACTTACTAAATTTTAAAGCTTTAGTTTAGTTTAGATCAAATTCAATAATACTAGATTTTTTTTTATAACCTTAGAATTTGTAATTAGTTTAGAATTATTTTAGTAAGTAATTTTTAATTTAGTTCGAATAACTTCTTTAGATAATTAGTTATATTCCTTTTTATTTGTATATTTCTGTCATTTCAATTCCTCGGTGCCTCTTGATCATTAATTTGTTTTTGTCAGATTTATTTTCTTGTGAACTTCTGAATGTTTATATTTTGATGCTCATTTTATTTTGCTTACTCCAAGGGAAAGATTTAAATCTGTTGACTTCATGTTATCAAACACATCTGATCCAATCGTGCGAATACCCTCATTCATCTTTTGTTTGTTTACTATTTTGCTAAACTCAAGATAATTTTCCCAAAAGACTCCATTTTTAAACTCACACCTTTTAAGTCAAAACTTCGACACTAGGTCGTCGCATCTTCAAAATCTCTCCAACACCGATTTTTAGCCAGACGAACCATTTTAATCAAACAAACAATTTCAACCAAAAACAGATATTTCAAAAAGGTTCCTGCGGAGTACCGCAGATGCATTGGGTGCTAATACCTTCCCATTATATAACCAACCCCCGAACTCTCGATCTCTTTTCAAAACGCATGGTATTTTCATTACTTTTAAGTATTTTTATGCATTGCATATTTTAGGGTTTTGTTTCGCTCTTTTCCCTTTTCCCTTGGAAATAATAAAGCGCGGTGGCGACTCTTGCTTTTGTGAGTCAAGTTAATTAATAGCTTGATCTCTGATTTTCACCGCTACAGAATTGGCGACTCTGCTGGGGAGAGATTGACCTCTTGCTGGTCCATCCCTAAGTGGGTTAAGCCTAATTTGTTTTATCTGTTTTATCATTATTTGATTGTTTGATTATATGTATATATTGTGATTATTTGGGTGTTGATAATATTTACAAAGGACAAGTCCTATACCCGGACTAAGTTACACTTAGGAATAGGACGGGCGGTATAGTCATGTTAACTTTGAGGGAGTAATCCCGAAGAAGGAGGCATGAGATCCCCCACTCAGTGGAAGGCCCTTTTGAACGTAATATTTGTTTACCGAGTAATCGGGAAGACATTATTATTTTCGTCCTGGGAGCCAGAGAAGCTGGGAACCATAGAACCCTAACCCATCTTAGCCTTTTAGGTGTAGCGCGGAGATTATAACGGAGTAATCCGGAAGTAATTGTTACGCGATGCTATGCTCGGATGAGTTTCTCTTGAGAATATTGCTGATTATTGAGTAATCAAGACGTTGGTAATATCCGAAGGAGGAATGTAGACTCCGGGAACTCTTAGAACCTTGTTCTACAGGTGTGATTAAACTGTTAGTACATACCTTGGGGGTGTTCCTTACCTTGACTCCATGCTCGTGACGTTGAACCTTTCGACTTTATTTGTGACCTTGCTTGTGGTTGTTGCATAGCCATGCATTCATGCATCCATAAAACCCTTTTCACTTGACTTTCAAGGAATTTGGAGGTCTTCCTTTGTAAACATCACAAGTTTCGTCAAGCTCAATGGATCTTGGGTGTTGATAGGGTGAAAACCCTAATCCACCAAAATGGATGATTGATCTTGATGATAACTTGATCAACGCTTTGATCCAATTCAAAATTCATCTTCTATCTTCATACTTTGATGTTTACAACTTAATATCTTGAGTTCCTTGAAAATCAAATAAAAACTCTCTTTTGCATATCATGTATCATTCTACATTTTTATTTCACTTTCAAAGGACTTTTTTCGAGTCTCACTTTTCCTTTGGTCTCACCAGTACAACACTCACGCTAAGAGGACAATGGAGAATATCAAGCAAGAGGTTTCTGAACTCCGTAGAGAGATGACTATTTTGAAAGCTAGTGTGGAGCACTTAACTGGTTTGGTCGAAATTTTGGTTGCTACCCAAGTTAATCCTTCTAAGAAGGAGGAAGCGATGATAAAAGTATTCACTGATTGTCATTCAAGGACGTTGGTTTTGAAGTTCAAATCAAGCACGTGCCGAAGAGTAAACACGATTGATGGTCACTTTGAGTTTTGAAGGATGTTTTCGGTAATTCAAGTCCAGATGGAAAGCCTTCCTAGATTATTAACTTATTCATGCTTTTTGTAATTTTTCTTGTTTATCAAAACATTGTTTGCATGTAAGAACTTGTTTGCATCTGAATGATTATCTTAATACAATGGGTATGTTTGTCTTGAAGAAATTCATTCGTTTCACTCATTTTGTTTTCAAATCTTAAATTTCTTTTGGCATTATGATACCAACTTGTTGCCCATTCTCTTGCCTAGGCAGAGATTGAAGGGAGGATGATGATCTAAAGAACACAAAATCTCTGGTTGCATGCTTTTGGATAAAATCTTACTGATGATGTACAGGCATTGTTTCAAATCCCTAAACACTGGAGATATAAGGAAGATAATCCCTTGCTAACCCCTTTTGAGCCTTTGAAGCAGAAGTTTCTTTTCTATACGAAAAAACCTTGAATTTTAACCTAGGGCAGGGTAGTTTTTAGTTAATCTGACTGAGTGTTCGAAATTCATAAGGAAGATGTTTTTTGAAGAGAAACCACGAGGGCTATCCTTCATGTATAATGAATCTAGAGGTTGGAACCACAATGTTATCCCTCATTCATCAAGAAACGAGGCAGTCACAATCCTCTCAACCAGCGAATGCAAGCTAATGTCACACATTTTGTTCAAAAAGTCAAAAATCGAGAAAAAAGAAAAAGCCTGCTAAGTCAAAAAACATGAAAACGTGTGACTTAGGCAAAATTAAGGCATCCCGCTGGACTATCAATTCAAAAAATTAGTTCAGGCAAAAATTAGGGAAAATAAAAATTGCAAAGAAAGGACTACAAAGAAAAGTCCTCAGCAAAGAACAAATTGGTGACTACAAACATGAAGACATGAGGGTGGTTTCTACTCCGAAAGCCTCGTCGTTTCCTTGACCGTCACAAAATTCTTTTGAGAGATGAACGCTCATGTTGAATTAACTGAACATAGGGTTGGAGAACATCATGAAGAATGGGTGGGCACCAAATATTTTGAGCCTTAAAAATCTTTTTTCTAAAAACCATGAACCAGGCCACGTTACAACCTTCAAAAGTCCTAATTGAAGCAAGGTTATTTTGAAAGCATACTTCAATGAGATAGTGTTCCTGACTCCCATGAATGTTCTAAATAGTTATGTTGGTATCATATGTTTTTCCTATACAAAAATAAATGGTGCTTTAACTCGCGAAATTTGTGCGATATCTTTCAAAATCTTCAAGACTTACATAACTGTTGCATTAGAATTTTCATTCTCATTGTAAACTTTTTCTAACTGCAAAACATTTGTTTGATATCAAGGAAGCTCACATAAGCACCAGTGATGAGTTTATTCTTTTAAGGCTTGAAACTATGTTGAGTAATTGGCGGATCACGTCAAGAAAAAATCATATCCATGGGCATGTCACCTGAAGACCTTGAGCACAAATATGCCGCTTCTCCCAGTTAATGCTTTTCCCAACTTGTTTACTCGTTTGGGGCAGAATTTGAAGACTTTATTATGCCAACTACAGTCAATCTGGGGCAATCACGTCGAGATTTGATGAATTCCTCTAAGAGTTTGAAGACACCAGAGCATGGTGAATGCCAGGTCTTTTGTAAAATCCTCTTGAGACGATTTCTCCTCATCAACCAGATAGCTTGGGGCATGTTAGAAGTGAAGCTATTCGCAAGAATTGTCGTGCAACATGCAGCTCATCAGCAGTAAACTTGGGGCATCCAAAATTAGTCCCAGGGGCAATTCAGATTTGTCAAGATATGTTTTTCATACATTATCAGAGGGTGGTGTTCCCAGTATCTCCAGCTAAGCATGACTTTTCCAGCTGAAGCATTGTTCGTGTTGTTATCCTTTCAATGGATTGTCGACAATAGAAGACTGGATTTTGGGTTTTCTACCTGAAAATATCTTCCTCTCCAAAGAGATTTAAGCCTTGTAAAAGGACTTTATTCCAATGATGGCTTTTGTTTTCTATCTCCAGTAATGTTACCATCCTGTTGAGATTAGCCGAGTGTCGAGTTGTACTGTGATGTCTTATCATTTTCTGTCTATCTCCCCTGTCTGTTTTGTCAGCATATACATGACATTCATTTATTCATTCACACTTGCATCATGCATGCACAGTTGTATTTGTTGATGT